TATATATATATATATATATATATATTTTTAAATTAAACGTATAAAATCTCGTATTATGCAAAGTAATATATTAAATCAAGTAATGAACGATGATTGAGCTAACAAGCTTTTTGGATGACAATTGAATCATTTATTAAATAAATTACTCTAAGATAAGAACTCTTTTTGGAATCCACCGAGTCCTTCGTCAGCTAAATTTACATTAATATCACAAACTAATCAAGTGTGATAATAGAAGTTGATCGACGTTTAACAGTTAAATTAAATTTGTAATAGTTAAATGAATAAACAAGATTATCATCACGTAATCGCTGAGGACGAATGTTATAGATCTGCAGTTCTTATTGTGAGTGATTTCACATGAATTATCTGACGATTTTCAGTTGTCTCTTATTCTATGAATTGTCCTGCATTCTTGAACAGTTAGAGGCTGCGCACAATAGCAGGAATAAGGAAGAATAAGGAATAATGATTTCAACAATAATGATTTCAACATATCAGAAATTATGTATTTCGATGTATCCGATTTATGATAAATTAAAATCGTTCATTCATTCCTAATTCCTTATTCCTTCTATTATTCGCAAGACCTTAATCGTTAAATTAAATTTTTTGCTGATAATTAGCGAATATTCAATGACTATTCATAATCAATTTTTAAAAGCGGTATCATATATTTTAATCGAAAAGTCAGTATTGTATGTGTTAACATTGTCAGTATATAATTTAAAAAATCCTTTATCTTTAAGTTAAATTAATTTTATTTTTTTATAAAATATATTTTATAAGATATATGTTACTTATTGTTCGAAATATTTGACATAAAATGTATTTGACATAAAATTTTATTTTCATTTTTTTTTCATAATATTTGGGTTTTCTCATTGTCTTTAATTTTACTTTCTTTATTTGGTCTTTTATAAAATGTTTCAATTTCAGCTAAAGTTCTCAATGGAAGCGACAAATTAGCATCTGCTAGTCCGCGTACCAGAAATTTGCAAACCATAGCGGTAAAAATATTGCATCCTGGAATCGAAGGCCAACTCAAGTACCTTTTTAAGATATTGCGCAAATAATTTTTAGTAATATTTCCTGCCAAAGTTCAATCGCTGATAAATTGCATGAATGCAAACAAATGAATGCAAATTCGCGTTGCGAATTAATGTCAGTACGTTATTCATCGCGTCAGAACATAATGCTTACTGTACACTGAACGACCGTGTATTTAAATACATACTAAAAGTATTCTATATTATATATTATATAAGATATTCTATATTTTTTATTATATATATTCTGTATTGTATACAATTCGCAGAAGGGACATTGCAATAATGCGTGGTTTTTGCAAGTGCGTCACGTACTTCATTCCAAAATTGCATTGGCTCAGTTTCACAGATTGCATCGATGAATTCGCACGCATAATGGAAAATCAAGTAATTTATTCCTACGACTATATCTTTACATATTCATACTAGATAGAATCTGAAAAAGATGTAGCCTTAATATTATGTATTAAATATATAGATTGTTATACTTACATTAAGAGAAAAAAAAATGGTTGCAAATATTATAATTTATAGTTATTTTGAAGTTAACTATAAATTTGGAATTGTTTTAACTATGCACATTATAACTGCTTCAACATTGAAATATAAGATCATTACAATGCATTAAATTTTTTTCTCACCACATCTCTTATTACTATTTAAATAATTATATTAAGAAAATGGTCATATTTCGTTCACTATAATGACGATTGCATTCATTATTAGAAATGGCTATTTTCATTTACCATTCGTATCTTTATATTTTACTATAATAGTTCTGATTATTATAATTTATACTATTTCTACATTTGAGAGAATAATATATATATAAGGTTATTATTACTAATCTGTAACCTATATGTTGTAATACAAGCTATTAATGACTGTATATCAGATAAAAATCAATCAGATCAAAAGGACATATGTATTTCTACTAGAGGCAGAAAGTACGTGAAAATGTATTTGAAAAGAAATTTTGGAAAGAAGTTCTGAAATATAGATGTTCCAACTTGAATATGTCTCAGATAAGGCTCAGATATAGTTTACATAAGAATACATAAAGTGTATCTCCATGTATCTAGATACATGTAGATACATGTGGATACTACTCAACACTAGTTGAAGCCTGCATAATTATGAGTTCGCGAAACAAAATCAACAAGAAATAGTTGCTTTATTTATGACGAGAACAAGGAATAATCTAAGCAATAATTCATTCCTATTGACCGGATTCAATCTCCGAGTGATCTGTAGTTTAAAAACAGTGAGCGAAAATGCGATGGCACGCATTTAATTACATTAATTTTTATAAAGGTTGATATGCGACTGGAAGCTTCTAATCTCGTGAAATTTTCGGCGAATTTCTCGAAGAGAAATGACATCGTGTTTCCATATCCTTACACACATTTGACTCGTCGCAGGATACTCGTTGAGAGTTTCCATGAAGGTGCACCGATATCAGATTATCTGGAATACGATGATGCTATTTTACAGCGGAGACTCGCCAAGATAGGAATTACGATGGTCTTTCAAATGGTTAATATAACTAACTCAAACGATTTTCAATCGGTATAATGAATGTACCAAAATAGAGCGGTTTGTATCAAGCCTTTTAATTATTTATTGTCATCGTTGTTAACATCTGCCGAAACGCATTAAAGAAAGTGAATTAAAATTTTCTTATTTTAAAAAAATTAATGTTAGATTTATTCCAACGAGATCTAATTGTAAAACTTTTATTGGCCTGTTTTTCATAGCACTTTATTATTGTACAACTTTTGATTGAGAATAATGTGTGAACAACTGTTTGATTGTAGATATTTAAGGATAACTTCATCCATTGTGACTTACACCCAGGCAATATTCTAGTCGAGAAAACAATCGCGAAGGCGAGTCTGTTCAACACTTTTTGGCGAGTCATTACCTCCGATTATGCAGAGCACGACTCACGCCTGATTATATTGGACTGCGGCCTTGTGGTATCTTTGAATGAACGCTGCCGACAAAATCTTCGAGATGTTTTTTATTCGGTGTTAACGAGAAACGTAAGTCCGAGAAAAAATGTTCACTTTCTATTAACATGCACTCTTTGCCTTCTTAATGGGGAACTTATATAAGCTGGAGAAACACGTTCATTCTTTTTCCTCTCTATTTTTTTTTCTTTACCGAAGTGCTTTTCTCTAATATTTTAGTGAAGAAAATGAACAGAGACAAAACATCCATTTTCGAAGTACATCTTTTCAGATGTCTCTAGGCAAAGGGTTCCCAGCAAACGATGGATTAAAATGAAAATTTTTTTCTATTCGAATGCGTATTTTAAATAGCGAATACTTTTTTTTGGATTTAATTGAATTCAATTGGATTCAATTGGATGCAATTGGATTGAAAACTGCATTTCCTATTCAAAATTTTGAATTGAACAGTATTCACAATGTGTGTGTTGTGCACAGAAAAAGCTAATATTATTTTTAGATTGAAAGGCATAGAGATATGCTCCATGCAATTCCTAAATGAATAAAAATGCATTCAGAATTGAAAAGCATTCATTTTAACATTCGTGAATCAATATTTCTGAAAATCTGGATCCATTTCAATTCACTTCAATCCATTCTCGTTTGCTGGGTTGTTCAATATTTTATTCAATATAAAATACACGGTAAAATATTTACAATAAAAGCAATTGACTATATGAACGTAAATTTTTTTCGAATAATTTAAACTTAATTGCAATCGCATTTTTTTTAAATTTTCCACTCCTCAATATATACACTATTTGTTTATTTATGTTTTATATGCATATCATTTTATTTCGCTTCATGTTTTGTCGTATGTTTTACATTTCTTAAAGATGAACGATTGATGATTTACATGCAAAATTTAACATAGGGCGAAATGGCGGCGCAGTATATCCTGGAGCATAGTTCGCACATGACCCCCGACTCAGATGGCTTCAAATGTTCAATTAGAAATATTATCAAGTCTCACTTTAACAATCCATTTAACGTTAGTAACAGATATTCTCTTTGAAGCTCAAGAGATCGCTGAAACGGCGTATCGTTTTTTGCAATCTCTATTCCTAGGATAGTATAATAAGAGATTGTATAATAAGAGATTTCTTAACTTTTTAACTTTGACTGTGTTAATTTCATCGCTTTTCAGAATCAATCTTCCGTTTTTGTTTTTTAATACGATCGTACGCGTAAACATTGTGTGAGATCGTCGGCATTTAAAGGGAACTTATAAAATCGTAGTTTACTATCAATTACATAGCTTAAGGGAATTCTAGTAATCGTCCCACTTTATCATAAACTCCATTCGGCATTAATTATATCCTTCAAATTGGATTTATGAATTAAAAAATCGTTTTTGCTTTTTAGAATTAAACTACACACAAAAAACATCCGAAGCACTGTGGCTTTCACGAGAAAGTACAGAAAATTAAAAAATTCACTTTTGACTTATACAGCTACAGCTGTTACTTGAGATTAATATTTATTTGTTGTAAGAATTTTATAGTTCATAAAATAAGCGATGATCATTACTTATAGGAGTGAAATTGAAACGTACGAAATGATTTACTCAAAGGAATATTTATTTAATACACAACTTATTACTGCAAAGTAAATATTTATTTGCATCGAAGAAATTCATTTCAAGAAAATGCATATTTTCTTGTTTTTTTCTTGTTTTTCTCAACTTTCATGTTTTTTGTTTGTTTTTTCACTTCCTCTCGCATTTCTTCTCGAGATATTATATTATATTTAGTGATTTTATTTTTATATTTTTAATTGATTTAGCAGTTAAATCTTTTAATGATACTTGCATAATTTAACTAATATTTTTAATAATGTAAATCAAATAATTGAATACGGAGATATGAAGACAGAAGTGATGATTCAGCTATCAAAGTTTGATAATGAGTATAATCTATTGATTTCTTCATTTAAGACATTTGAAAAGGAGATTGTAGCGTCTCTCGATCTGAAGACTTTTGTCTATCCATATACAATATTTTCATTTTCTTTTTGAGAGACAGTTATATAAGAAAAGTGTGTTCAATAATCATCATAGTTAAAAATTTTATTATTTTTTATACCTTAACAAATGAACTTTGTTTAATCCCCATAACTTTCTTTGGTGTTTGTGACAAAGATGTGTAAAAGAAAAGAATCGTAGTCTTCCGGACATATTGTCAATATTATCCATTTATTTTTATTGGTATCTATAATACTTTTAATTTATACTTTATATATGTGTATTATGATTTCCATATGCGTTTTAATTTTATTGCTAAATATTAATTAGATATTGATGCATTACATATTAATTTTGACCATTTTTCTTTTTTTTCGTGTGGGTATCTGCAGGTAAACGTAAGTACCGTTATGTCGGAATTGTTTTCCGCGATGATTAATCACCGAGTCAAGCAAGATGGATCCTTCAGCAGCGTAATTCTTAGTATGCTGGTGATCGAGGGCCTCGGTCGGTGCCTGGATCCTAAAATTGATATTTTCACGGAGATCCTGCCCTATGTCTTTAGCAGCGTTATGTACAACAAGTGAAGATGAGACTAAACAAAAGTTAATTATATATTCGAAATAATTACTGGAGTATTATTTTATTTGTACTTCTCTCATACAATAAACAATTTAAGTAAAAGATATAGGACTACTTTCGAAAAAATTATTAATTTGATAATCTGAGAGTTCATCTCATTATCAGTTTTCTTGTAAGTAGAATATTCATATGATCATTTTTTTTTAAAGACTCAAAGTTGGATTAAAACGTACGAATTATGAATAAACGATCGAATTATTAACTACTTGTATGTATGTATAAATAAACTTGTACGTATATATAAATTCTGTACATGAAAAATGCTTAATTTATTAAGATTTATATAACATTTATATAACCAAAAATATATTTTTTTTTACTTTAATCACAATAAGCGATACTTTTTTATAGTGTGTACTGTATAGTGTGTTGAGAAGACATTTCCTAAGAGTTCGCATTTTTATTTTTTTTACTAAAATTAATTTCCTGTAAAACTGAGTGTTTGTATCAAATTGATATTTGACAAATTTTCAAACTCTAAGGAATAGCTTAAGTAGCATTTTAATGTTCAAACTCGGGTTCTTGTATTAATTATACAACATAAAAGAAAAAATGCGTACTCTTGGCTATCTTATCCTGATCGTAAGTTTATAACATCTCATGATTTTTTCTACATCAAAGAAATTACATTGTCATAAAATGTGTTAATTTATTTGTCGGATATATATTCTATAATAATACATTCATCTTTATAATAGAAAGTCTATTGTGTAGTGTGTATATACACACACACACACACACACACACACACACAGAGAGAGAGTACATGTTACACATTTATTAATCGATTATGTCTCATATACTTCATATAAACATGTTTTCTAAGGAAAATTCCCTTAATGATCGTGACATTTTCCTTGGTTATATGTATAATATGAGTGTCGCGCGCAATAAAGATAGAGAGATTTGATTATTTTCTTATCCGAGTACGCATTGTTTGGTGCAGTAATGGTATACCTATAAACGATAGTAGTCTTATTTTGGTTTAATAACTATGAAACTTATTTTGATTTAATAACTATGAAACAGTGTAATAAGCGAGAATAACAATATTTTTGTTTAATCTTTCGAGGTCTATTTTACTATAACATTATCAACAATCTCGAACTATCTATCGAAATCGGTTCTTAGTTTAGTATCAACATTAAACTTCATATTCAGCTGATCTTATGGTTTATTAATCCTAACACAATTGTTAAATATATCTAGATAATCCTTCTCGATTTTAAATTCTCAACGAGAGATGCAATTCTTTTCTTTATCAATGAGAGTTATCCTTTGACCACAACTTTGATGTTTTTCGGCAAGTTTGTTGTAGAACCTTTGTTGACACTGGCGGCTGTAGGCCTCATAAAACTATGACCCTTTAAGCCGATTCGTGGTTGCATTAATCTGCTCTTTGTTGCGTATGTCTTATCACCAGAAGGCAGTCGACTTCCTAAGATTGATTGCTGACCTACGCTGCTTCCACTGCTGCTGCTACGCGAGGCGATCGGTCGGCCCCTTATAACTTTTGGTATGCCAGGCACCACCTACCAATTAACAATAAAAATCGAAAATCTCGAATAAAATATTTTAAATTTGTTTTGCAAAAAAAAAACGTAGAATTATGTCATTTTTTTCCGTATATCAATTAATTTTTTGGCTATATTTAAGCTGAATGCGAAATTGTATAATAGTGGACAGAATGGTTGCAAAGCTTTTTCTTCGATGGATTTCGGAATGCAGCTTGCTCACCGAGCGATTGATCCTTATAGATCATAAACTTATACATATATTTAGTTAGAATTATACATATATTAGTAAAATAATCGCATGATCTATTAAAAAAATTTGTTAAACAGGCTGTTTTCATCGAGGAATAAATTTTAATGTGTTATTTGTTGTAGTTTTTTGACTTTATCAAATTTAACAATCATACTTCTCAAGAAGGAATATTCACAATATATGAATTCTACCAAATCAAAATTACCTTTGGTTCCATCAAAAATACATTGACTTCAATTTATTGTTAATTTGCTGAAGATGACCTAAAACCGAAATGTTCGTATGTACATAATAATCAAAGAATGATGTCAGCAACAAGAATTCATTTGTATTATTGACATATAATATATACACTAACATTAATTGTGATGTGTTCTCAATTATCTTTAATGCTCTATTATTATTATTATTTTCAACATTGACAGCCTATAAAAATATTTCTTCTATAATTTTATAACTTAAAAAATTTCTCAGATATTTTTATATAAATTATTTAGGATATGTCAAATCATCTTGCTGAAGACATATTTCTAAGGATGTTAATAATATATTTTTCAGCTTCGACAGTTTCTGATGAGGTCGATAGGACGACATTTTTTAAATATTAGAATTACTGTCTATAGAAATTTGAGGAATTTTTAAAATTATTTAATTTTTGATATTATTATTATTATTTTCTATAAAATAGAATACAATTAATAAATATACGCGGAAAGTCCAAAACAAGACAAGAATCTCTTTGAAACACACAATGAGAATATATTGAATATAATAAGATCTTTAAATTATAATTTTGAAGCATACAAGAGAACTAAATGGAAAAGTATGATTTGAATACTATGAGATAATTTATAATCTTCATGCGATTATATATAAGATACAGCAGAGTAAGAAATATACATAATGTTTTATTTAATTTTTACTTAACATAATGATTTATTTAAAATTACGAATCTGTTTTATTAATAATAATTAACTAACTGTATTAACATCGATTATATTTGGCCATCGCGCCAGTATCTTTTTAAGATCTTATAGAGCGTATTCACACCTGATTTCGGCTTTTCCGTCAAGATATGAATGCATCATTAGGCCTATTCTTTTTGGTTGAACTTTTGCACTTTTCATCTTTCTTCCTTTTCTCTCTAGGAGGAAAGAAAAAGAAGAAAGATGAAAGATGCAAAAGTTTAACTGTTAAAAAGAACAAGCTTCTTGTTGAATATATATAATATAAAATCCTCTTTTTATTTAGAAAGATATTTGAATTATATCAACCTCGGATTCTTTTTGGATGCTCCTCATTGCCGGTTCAATGTTGCTACTGCTGTTGTTACTTCTACTGGCAGGTATCTTGCTAGTGCCCATCTGACGAAGACTTGATCGTCTTTTATCGACCGCGTCTTTCGGTGGCAACGGTCTGCTCAACGGACTGTTTTTCTTCAGATCATTAGTCAGCGCTCGGATAGCCGAAGTATAATTCTGCAGATGCACGCGATTCGCGGCCAAATTCCTTACCGTATTAACGGATGTCGCACTGTTCAGCGAGCTCCGCGAACTGCGTAGACTACTTCTCGAACTGGAACGTTGCACTTCGCTTTTTGAAACTCCTGTATCGTTCGGTAACGGTACTACATTCGAAGTTCTTTTCAGAGATTCGATTTTTCTCAAAGCAGAAGATTCGTGCTTTGCACTTGCAGTGCGTTTTGGCAAGAAGTTGGATTTTTCCGATGCGTTCCTCGCGATTGTTTTCTCGTTGAACATTTTACCGGAAGCCGGCATCAGCAATTTGTCGACGGATGATTTCCGGCCGTCGTCCATTACTGTGATGACGCTACGTCGAGGATTTTCGCTACTATAGCCACCCAATTCAGCTGGTGAGCATCGCATCAAGTCATGCGTGTCCGTCTCGTAATTGCCGGAAGACGTCTCCTGGCTTAAAGTTTCCGATACGAGACTTTGCGTTTCTTCAAAGCCTTCATCATTTAACTCCTGATCTCTGCTTTTACCAGACAACGGCGATGTTGTCACACTTACACCAGGAATGAATCGGTTGCGGAATACAGAGTTCTGTCGAACTGCGATCTGATCGCACGAATCGTCCACAGTCCGGACATTCTCGAATTCTCTCGTGGATTTCAGATCCGCACACTTTTCTTCTTCTACGATCTCAAGTACATCGTCCTTTCGATCGCGCAATGAGTTTCCGTTTCGCGAAAAATCATTGATGATTTCCTGATTTTGATTCACTTGACTAGGTGGATTGCTAGACAAACGGACTGCTTCCTTCACCTGGCTTGGATCGATCATGCTCCGATGACGTTCGCGGCTTGTCACTGCTCGCTCGGTAATCACTGTAACAGGCTCACGCGATCGCGATTCTTGCATTACCGGACTCAATACGGTATTAGTCACCGCTAACACTGGCAGTGGTTGACTGACAGGAAGTCGCGAATTTCTGTGACTCATTGTCGATGTTGCTGTCGTCGGCTCTGAATCCGGCAGACACTGAAGATCCTCGTCAGAACGCGCGATTTCCAGAGCCGTATCGCGTCGCTTCAATTTATCTTGCCAGATACGCAACATGGTGTCTGCGTCCTTGTGAAGGATCTCTTCATCTGCCTGGGCGAGACTATTAGGTTGCTGCACCGTCGATTTCTCGTCGTGAACCATTTCAAGACTTGATACATTTGATTTATCTTTGTTCCCCATGAGATCTAAGGTCTTCCTGTACCTGCGAGTTCGTCGCGTCGCCGAATATCTATCGAAGTTACCTAAGAACCGAGATATATTATTATTTTATCAATTGAAATTAATTTATTCTGAATCTTACTTTTTCTGCTTTATTTATTTATTCTGAACTTTTGAAATTGCGAAATATATGTATATTAAGAAGACATCTGATTAAATATTTTGTATATTACATAATAGTCTTGAAAATCATCAATTTTGTAAGCATGTGTGCGTGCTTCTTCATTCAAAATTCTCTCTCTCTCTCTACATTTTTCTTCTCTTTCCCCTTTTATTAAAATAATTAAATATTTTTTTGCTGTTATTACAGAAATAAGCATCATTGACTTTTATGCAATACAATAAGCGATTACGATAGAATTCTCTCTTTACATTTTGAAATGTCTGACAAGAAATATCTCTGGAAAAGCTACAATTATCCTATTTTAGA